TAGGAACCACCCTAGGAAGCTTAAATTCCACTGTGTCTGCTGCTATACTATGTTCTAATTTGTAGAATTCACTTGTAATGCTTTTGGTCCTAATATCAATTGTGGTGTGTGGTCACAAGAAAAAGAATGCAATAACTTCTTTTAGTGAAGAAATATTGTGGCCCATCTTATGTTTTACATAGTAAGTAATAATTTGATTCATGAATCCTCAGTGTATATCTGGATTGAAGTCTGTAATGGATAACATAACCTCAGTCTCATTTCTCTTCAAGAAATGCTAAGAAATGGATATATGTTTACATATTGGCTAATCCAGAACATTCTGTAAAATATTCTTTCTACCAGTTTCTTACTTACCCTATCCAGCAAAAGATTCATACTTTTCCAGATGTTCCTCAAGTCATTACCTCCACGATGGCTTCCCTAGTATCCCCAGATGGGGGTGTCTTTTCTCTTCTTTATATATTTTACTTTTCTGATACTGTATATGTGTTTTGATGATGACATTAACGTTGTTGCCTCCTTTAGGCTGAGGGCTTTCTGAGAATAGGATCTCTCTTTTATCTTCATGATCCCCAAACCTAGCTCTTTGCCCAGGATATTGTTGCTTAGAAATCATTTTTTGGATTGAAGTAAACCACTCTTATGAAAATATATGTTAAAAAGTCCTGGAGGTACCAAAGAAAAATGGAATATGTTTGAATTCTTCTCTAGGCATAGAGAAAAGACTTTCTTGACAGGATATGTGATTCTGCTCATAAGTATGGAGAAATAAAATATCATGTTTACTTGGAAGAGATGTGGGAAATTCAATGTGATGAGAACACAGAGATGAATCTGGAGAAGATGGTTTGATTCTGATGATCTACGTGGTAAGAAATGCAGGAGTAAATTACAGAGGCCAAAGAGAGATGTGTTTTTCGTTTTTGTTTTTGTTTTGTACTGGGGATCAAACTCAGGACCTTGCACTTGTGAGGCAGGCACAGCACCACTGAGCTAAATCCTGGGCTCCAAACAGGTTTTGAAGCAAGAGAATGATGTAATATGATTTGTTGTTCAAATCAGTAATTTTAAGGGCTTAGGGAATAGCTCACAGGTAGAATGTGTGCTTAGTATGCAAAGGCCCTGATTGAATTCCCAGCTCACACACACACACACACACACACACACACACACATGTAAACTATGGCCTTTCAGTGACATCACTATGTGTCAATGTAGGCTCATCAATTATAACACATGCACTACTTTTATGTGAGTGTTGATAATGGGAATGGCCATGCACATGTGAGCAGGGGTCAATGGGAAATTTCTGTACCTCCCAAATTTTACTGTGAACCTAAAACTACTCTAAAGAATGATATCTATTAAAAACAAAAAGAAGTAATACCACCAGTGGTGGGCCTCCAATGGGGGACCTTTGTAAAATCATTTTCTTTGTGTGTTCCACAGGTAGAAAGAGCTGAATTTTGCACTGGGCATTAACACAGTTGATTGTCATAGTTCTACAAATCACACTGGATCTAGGCATATTATTCTACCAGAAAATGAGTGAAAAGGAAGATCTTAGGGGGGCATTTGAAGTTTGAGCCTAGAAAAATAGATGACAAGTTTTCAGCAGGAAGTATTAGGGTGGAAATATAAGAATCCAGAAGGACAAGGTTAGGTCCAGAAACCACCTGGCTGGGAGACAGCAGAGAGTTGGATGAGACGGGACTTAGGCAAGAGTATCTGTGAAGCTGGGTTGTTCCACAAGGAACTAGGGAAGTCTCTGTCAAGATTATGGAATGTGGTTATTTATGTTGCTTCTAAGGGAATTCTTGGAAAAACAGTGTGGTACAGTGCAGTGTGGATTTTGGAACAAATGATGTTTGTTTTTAACCTTTTCTTCACTGTGATCCAGCTGTGTTCTTTGGACAAGTTCTTTAATTTTTCCAGCTTTCAATCTCCTTATCTGTAAAATGAGGATAGTGACATTTCATGTGCAGGATTACTGTGAGAATTGAAATATAGATATATAAAATATTTAGTAAAAAATTCTTGAAGTACTATAGGAATTATTCTTTGCTTTTATTTTAAATTTTGACTTTCTTAAGCGAGAAAGATGTATTGAAGTCTTTTGTCTGTAGAATTGCCATATTGTTCACTCAGGAAATGCTACTGCTTTGCCAATCTGAGTTTCCTGAAATGGGTGGGTTATGGTTCTCATGCTACCTCTTGTGTGTCAAGGATGCTCCTGGTGGTTCTGTTTCCCACATGGGCTGCCCTGTGAGAGGAGGCCTCCACAGATGATGTGGCTGTGGGAGGTCTGGCGTTTGGTTTCATGTGTGCCCAGCGTCTGTTGAGGCTGCTCCTGTTTGTGGCTTGGCCTTTCTGCTTCCCTCTCTGCCTGTGAGGAGCCACACTGTCTGTTCTGTAAGCCAAGCCCATCTGCTACTGCTGGTTCCTGGGAATCAGCCCCTTCCCTCTTCTGCGGAAGCACATCATCATGGTATGGATGACAACCACTGGGAAATTCAGCCCTGTCTGAAACAAGGAAGCGACACGAGGAAGCAAACTGTGAGCTAAGATTCTCTGGTGAGTCTCCTGAATGTTTCTCCCTAGCTCAGCCATGGTGGATATTCACCGGTGGACAGAGTGAGAGAACTTCAGATCACTGCGAAGTCCTCTAAAGAGCCAGCTTTGGACCAGGACTCTTGCGGTGGGGTTAACAATTTGCCCATAAAATTCAGTTCACTTGAAAGTTGGGTGAAAAAATAAAAAGTGTAGGGAGCAAAATTCTTCTCAGAGAGAAATGGTCTTTGCTTAAGGAGATACCTCAGTAAGCATCTCTAGGCAGGGAACTAGGTCCTGAGAGCATGAGTCAGCAAAGTGAGAGGATGAACAAGACATCCAAATACAGTAGTCATTGTCAAGGAACGCATGGATGCGGAAGGGAGGGCGTGGTAACTGCAGAGTAGCGGAGAGAAGCAATGGAGAAGGCTTTCGGGAGACTTTTAAGAATAGGAAAGTCCAATAGATTCGAGTCATAATATTTGTTCTATCTGGGTGAATGTTCCGCGTACACTTAAAAAGAATGTGCATTTTGCAATTGTTCAGTGCCCTGTCAATGTCAATTAGGTCAAGTTATTTAGTAATGTTTAAATCTCTCATATGGATGCCACGCCTTCTGGTTATGTCAGTTACAGAGAAGTGAGTTAAAGTTCTAAGTACAGTGGTGGGTTTATCTATTTTTCCTTTTAATTCTGCTAGTTTTTCTTTGTGTATTTTGAAGCCCCATTACGAGATCCATGTATAGTTAGGATTCTTATATTTCCTGCATTAACCGTTGTAAAATGACCTTCGTTATCTTGGTAATATTCTTCATCTGGAAATGTCCTTTTTCTGATACTAGCATGCTTAGTGTTTGTATGATGCATCTTTTCTCATCCTTGTTTCAACCTTTCTGTGCCTTTAAATTTAATGCATGTTTCTTGTAATTAGTACCCACTGACTCTGACAATCTGACTTTTAACTAAAATATTTATGCATTTGTTGTTGTCTATTTATAGTTAATATAATTATTGATATGCTTTGGTTCAAATCTATAATCTCACTATTTTCTATTTGTTGCCTCTGGTTTTTTTTTGTTACTAATTTTCTGTCATTTGGGGGGCTAAACTAAAAAATTAAATTAATGTTCCATTTTATTTATTTCTTGAGACAGATACTCACTATATAGTTCAGGCTGGCCTTAAACTCACTATCTATGTAGCCCAGGCTGGCCTCTAACTCATGGCAATCCCCCTGCCTCTGCCTCCCAAGTACTGGGACTATAGGCTTGTGCCACTATGCCTGATTTATTCCATTCTATTTCTTTAAGTTTCAGGAATATCTTTTCGTATTACTGGTGCTTCTAAGGAATATATTATGCAGCTTCATCTTCAAAAGTCTATCTTAAATTAATATTCTACCACTTGGCATGCAATACAAGAAACTTGCTACAGAACTTGATTTCCTTTCTGTCTCCCATTATTCGTACAACTATTTTTCTATATATGTTGTAAAACATACAATAAATTGTTATTTTTGTTTTATAGAATAAATTATCAATTAAAAGGGATTTAAGAAATGAAAGAAAAGTCTTTTATATTTGTCCACATTTTCAGTACTTTTTATTCTGTCTTGTAGATCTGTATTTCTATTTTATATCATTTCCCTTAATCAGTAATAATTCCTTTAGCATTTTTTAGTGAAATTCTGCTGGTTATGAATTTTCTGCTTCATTTATCTGAAAATGTCTTGATCTTTATCTTATTTTTTTAAAGGGGATTTTCTGTAGATAAAGAATTTAAAATTGACAGGGTATTTTTTTCCTTGTTTATTTTCCCCAGCACTTTAAAAAAGGTATTCTGTTTTTCTCCAAAATCCATTATTTTCATGAATAGTCAGCTATCATTCATACGGATGTCCTGTAAATGACACACCTAATAACTTTTTCTTGACAGTGATACAGAGAGTCTGGATTCTGTTATTTTCTGGAAAGGGTATTGAGTTCAGTTATGGCAGGCAGATCATCTCAGTCTTGGGAAGGCTTGGTTTGTGCTCTCGCAGAGCAGGTACATTTGGATTTGCCCTTGGTTCTAGGACACATCCTTTAGTATTGGAATGTGATCGTTACTCCTAAGGATTGGAGTTATTCCTAAAATATGGCAATTCTGGGTTCAGTGGACAGTTTGCAGGGTTTACCAATGCTTGGTTGCCTTTTAGAACTTGAACTCCAAACTCCAGATTCCTAGCACAGGTAGCACCTTGGGCTTTTCAATCTTCCAGTTGTTTCTCTGGGCTCCTTGTAGTCTTCCTTATGAATGCATGGCTCAGGGGTTGGTCAAGGACTTGAAGAGACTTTAGATGGAAAATTTGAGGTTAGCCTTGTGTGATTCAGTGTTTTTGGAATTTCTCTTTTCATTGTGCAGCTACTGTGACATCACTCAGTTCCAAACCTTAAGTCCTTAGCCTGATAAAATGGATGTTTTCTATTTGTGTTCCATCTGTCCTGCTGCATTCATCTGTACAGTGAGGTATGCCTTCAAGTAAATGTCTATATAAAAGCGGATTGTACTAATGGAACAGGTAATGTCTGAAGTGGTGAGGGCTGAGAATATTCCTAAATTTGTAAAAATCATCATGCCATAAGTTCAACTCCAGTCAAACATAAAGCAATCCAGATGTGGTGGGGCACACCTGTAATCCTAGCACTTTGGGAGGCTGAGGCTGGAAGACTGTAACGTGAGCCCAGCTTGGGCAATTTAGTGAGACCTTGTCTCAAAAATAAATAAATAAATAAATAAACATTGGGTGGAGATGTAGGCCAGTGCTAAGGCTGAGTCCAATCCCCAGTAACACACACACACACACACACACACACACACACACACACACACATATAGAAAATAAGGAAGACACACCTAGAAATACATAGTAAATGGCCAGTGCTAAGGCTGAGTCCAATCCCCAGTAACACACACACACACACACACACACACACACAGAGAAAGTAAGGAAGACACACCTAGAAATACATAGTAAGATGGCTAAAAGTCAAAGATGAGGCAAAAATCTTTAAAATTACCCCAGAGAAAAGATGACTTTCAAAGAATTAGCATTAAACTGATGCCTAACTTCCCAAATGAACAACAAATGATTTCTCAACAGAAACAATGGATGGTAGGGAAAAAATGGGATAATATCTTTATATACTGAAAGAAAATAACTTCCAGGCTATTATTATAAGCCTAGGAGTATATTCAAGAGTGAAAATCTAGGAGGTATAGGTAAAATATAAGGAAGAAAGCTTTTTGGACCTTTGTAAGTGCTGGGGTATAGAGCAGGAGAACCTTGTGTCCTTGTTTCAATGTAGAAATAATAAAAATGTGACAGACAATTTTATTAACCCTTTTCTAAAGTACTGGACTGAGTATTTAATGTACTTCATTTCAACTATGTGTCTGGCAGGCTTCCTCCATTATCCACTTAGGAGCAGTCAAACCAAAGATTGGTGATGGATGCACAGGGGTAACAGGGTAGCACATCACTGTGGAGGTCTTGCTGGGCACAGGGTTGTCAAACCCAACAGGTGATGTCTTTATTTTTAAAATAAAAACGCTCTTGGAAATCAGTCCAATAGTTAAACAAGCAAGCCCTCCTCTCCACTCCTTTTCTGTCCAATTTTGTGCTGAAATGCCTTCAGGATTGTGGAGGTGAGGTTTGAGGAGACTGAAATGACATCACATTGAATTTGTAATCAAGAGATGGAAGGAGTCAGTGGTATGACTTTAGGCAAATGAGTTAATCTTGATTTCATCAGCAAAGTTGGGGTGATCCTACCTGCCTCATAGTTGTGTCAGGATTACTACGAATGGAAACACTTTTGTCTTTCACATGGACTGTTCCCTCTCCAATTGCTGCATATGTGTAAGCAAACAATTAAAACTTCTGAGATCATTTAGCCCAATATTTCTGATTTGCAGATGAGAAATGGAGGCCAATGAGAAAACAGAGGCCGAGTGGGCAAATACAAGCTGTGTGATCTTGGGAAAATTACCTAATCTCTCTGGTCTCCATTTTCTCATCTATAAAATGAGGATGTTAATACTAGCCTCAAACAGTTTCTGTGAAGATTGAATGAAGTATGAAAAGGATCTGGCACTGTAGCCACTTAGTACCTTCCAACAGCTACTGCATTTCAAATTAATATTATTATTTTGTGTGGCACTTTAGAAGTTGTTTTGAGGTATTAAGAGCTGGCAGGCTGCAGGCATTTAGTCATAAACTCCGGGCTGGTGGGCTGTCCTGGGCAGACCTTCCCCGTGGGGTCAGGTAGAGTTCAGTGAACTAGCAAAGAAGCTTGATTTTAGACGCTCCAAGACACGTCCACTCGTCTCCTCTCTGCTCCCTCTGTCTGTTATTAAACTGGTAGTTTTTACAACATCAATAAAGAACTTTCCTACCCAATTACCCCAGACAATAGGCTGAAAAGCTGTTTCGACTATGAAAACTTTGCGTTGGGTTCATTTAGATTGTTTTGCTGTGTCAAATCCTCACTTGAGTTCAAAAGTTCAACTGAACCATGAACTTTGTAATTTCACAGCAGGCAGTTCTACATATATAGTGGAAAGTGAAAAAACATACAATATTTCAGGTGGGTTTGTCACATTGTATATAATATCGTTAGGAATGGGTGTATGTCAAATAGCCCCTAATTTTCAGAGCACACCGACCTATCAAAAAGAAAGAGGGAAACAAAATTAAATCAAACTGTTCCTTGAGTTACCTGACCTCTGAGGCTTCCCAGGGAATTCACATGCAGTGACTAATCGTTAGTGGACAAACTAAAGCCAGCTAATCTTCTTAATAAATTGTGAAGTCTTGTATACCTCTTGGTTTTACTGGTGGCTTTTCTGCCTGTCTGGAACAGGCAACATATCAAAACAAAAGGGTCATGACTTTATGTATTTGTTAAAGTTAGAATCCATGTTCTCATATAACTCAGGCTTGATTTGGCCTGGTTACACAAGTGTTAGGTAGAGCCAAAGTTTCACAGGAATGAGAATAATGGTGCATTTCATGTGTCTTTTAATAAACACACACGCACACAGAAATTAAGTATGAGAACCTCTTGTTTTGTAAGGCTTGTGTTTGTGCAGCATCAGTTTCTGGGAAAAGTAAACATGATAAAATCTTATGGGTTAGGGGGATCCAGCAGAATCGTCAATTCCTTGGAATGAAATTTTACAGCGCATGAACATAGTCCACATTTGTTAGGATTGTCGTTGGTTTATATCTTGCAGGGTGTAAAAGTGAAGGGAAAATTTGAGGTAGACAATTTGGGGGTGGGCAGGTTTGGCCCATGCAAGCTGTTTTTATACAGTAGCTGTTTGTCTCCCTTTGTTTACCATGGGGTTGGGCTGCAGGATCATAAGAGGAAAGCTATTCTTGGTCATTTGTGGAAACAAAGAGGAAAGGATGGGGTGAGAAGGTCAAGTCCTGTAACTGGTGGTTCCTCATGAGTTAAAGAGGACTAGTTTTTCTAAAGCACTTTCCCCCTTTTCCTGACTTGCATCGCAGAGTTGGTGAGGATTTTAACTCTAGCCTGCTCACGACTTCTTGTTGAAACCCCCTAGCAGAGGTGGCCTGACACTGTCCTGTGGTCTTTAATGGTCCTTTTTCATACAGGAAGGTCCTGTTCAGTTCAGTCAGGAATTGATGAAACTTTCCATTTTTTCCAGATATAAATCAGCACAGTAAATGTGCCTCCAACTGAAAACCATGATAATAAAAGGAGTGAGAGTGGAGTGAAGACTGAAATTGGGTTGACCTAGTTAAAGGTGGTCTGTCTTCCTGGTGGGGTTATGAGGCTGGAAGAAAAAACAAGATTCACCTCTTTTGTGGCTCCATGAACTGGGCTGCTCAGATTTTACAGCTCTGTTTCCGGTTGACCTGCCCTATATAGTAGACTGCCTGTTTCCCAGTGAGGCCAGGACAGGAGGGGAGTTGGTGGCATTCTTTTAAAGGGCTTGTAAGATAGTGAATAACGACAGGAGTTTTTGTTCATTCTGAAGGCATTTAGGGAAACCCACTTCAGGGGTATGATGGCTGGGGACTGTTTGGTCAGGAGGGGGTCGGGCGGGAAGTAAAGGAGACTTTTTTTGGAGGAAATCGAGAGATGAAAGCTGGAAGTAGGAACTGGAGTATTGTGGGGCAAAACAGTGAGAAGAGGGTATAGGTTCTCAAGAAATAAAAGTGCACATGAAGGTGACTCCAGAATAAAAGGGAGATGTGGATTGGTGGTAGAATGCTCCCCTAGCAGGCATGAGGCCCTGGGTTCAGACATTAGCACCACACCCCAAAGAAGGAAGATATATATAGAAAGCTAGAATAGAAACAACTTTTACACACAGTCAGGAAGGGCTGAATTTAGCGCGTGTTTGTGTTGTAAGGAACAGCGGAGATGGGCAGGAGGAAATAGCATTTTAAATGAAAAAAAAAAAAAAACCCAAACCCCACCCCTCCAACTTCCCGGGTGCCCGAGACTTTCATGCTGTGTGGATTTCACTGTGCATTAATTTTTAGGACCCCAACAGCTGTCTAGAGGTTACCATTACTAACAGTTCGTATCACTTTCCCAGAGTTATATCTATATCACATATTTCCAGTATCAGCTCTAATCCTTAAAGGACCCTTCAAGTGTATGCTAGATCTGGAGTTTATGACTGACGTAACTGGGGCCCAGAAATTAAATGACTTACCTGAGTGCACCTGTATAAAACTTGGCAGGGAGAGTTTTGGAGCCAGCTCTTCTGATTAACATCACCTAGACAGGGACCTTATTTGAGTCTTTGAATGGTGCAAACAGAGAAGGCTGCCCTTGTGAATGGCCTCAGGCCACCAGGAAGACAACTCAGGTCTGTACTTGTGGCCTCCAGGATGAATTTGAGAAGTCCCAGGCTGTTATGGGGTGACATCTTTAACCAGGGGGTCTCCACATCTCTTCTATAGCCATCAAAGGGCAAGGTTTGAACCTACATTCCTGTCCAATAGGACATTTTAAAAAGAAAATAAGAGGGGTGGGGGAATAAAGCTCTTTTCAAATTGACTCATTAAATCCAAGACAGTTTGGGAGACCTGCCAATAATAAGAAAAGTCAAAGTAAAAAGCAGGTTCCATTTGCGTGTACTTTCCAACTTCCATTCCATGCTCAAGAACATTAGTCTTCCCATGGTACCTATAGTACCTATAGTAGCTGCAGCCCCAGGTATTTGTGTTTGAAACATGTGATCCACCCTCCAGATCAGAGCTGATGGGAAACAAGAGCTACCAATTGATAGTTCTGAACCTGACAGAAAAAATAAGCTGTGTTGTTTGAGTGAGTTTGGCTTTGGGAAACTGAGCAAGTATTCTGTAGAGAAAATTGAAGGTGAAAAGGCAGGATTTTCAGGAGCTGAGGGAAAAGGGAAGATAACACGATCTAGGTAAGGGGGTAGCAAGATCACATTGACAAAGGTATCAAGACCTTCTCTTCAGGTTTGGGAAACAGTCAGCTGACCAGTTTGCCTGGCGTGAAAAGTTGATAC